CAAAATTCTTTGCTACCACATTTAAAGGTAAGTGTGATATTTTCAATCCAAAAGTCTGTTGTTTATACTTGACACTATTCTAATGATAAAATCTAATGAAATGTAAGTGTGATTTCACCTCCCTCCCCTCCTTTGTTATTAATGGTAATGATTTAATTTATCCTAACTTTAATCACACTTAATTAACCCTTTCACTCAGAAGATCTCTTTTATTATAATTTAGTATTATAATTTCTCCTTACTATCTGTCGCCCATTGCTTGAAATTCTAGCTCTTAGTAAGATGGTAGTCCCATAATTGACACTCTTCTTTACTCCCATCACTTGCCTGCTTGATTTTGTATTGATATTGTAAGGAGAATTTCTGTTTTGGTCACTCATGGGAGTTAAAGAGTTAAAATTATTAAAATGGGTACAAAATGACTCAACTGACTGGGTATGAATTGATGCAGCAGGGAACAATGGGTATCAAACAACCATGAGTACAAAAGAGCTGATGGGGAAAATTTTCCTAACAATTATTTTGAGCTTGTGGAAAACTTGTAACATGATTCTTTAGCCAGCAATAAGTTGGGTAATTAAACCCCCCTCTGATTGGCATTAACCTGTATGGATCCTCATAAAAGAGTTAGATGCATCTTTTGAATTAAAAGTTGACTTTCTTTTTTTGAACACTTTAAATAATAAATAATTGAATTCCTAGTGTAGAAAAATGACCAGTACAGACTAAACATTTACACTACCACAATTCTTATTCTCATAGAACGCTTTTGAAACTGTAGATCCTAGCACTTGCACCACACAGGTCACATAATTTTGAAACAGTTTTGGCATGACTGACCGTAAAATATTTGATGCTAGGAGGTGGAGTATTCCATGAGGTCTAGAATGTGATGGTCTTTACGTTATATTATATGAGGACTGCAATTTTTTTGTCTTTGTCTTGTCCTATTGACAAGATGTTTCACATCTGAGCTCAAAATCTATTTTCTTTCTTATTCTGTTTCCAATGAACATGATGCTTTGAACATTGCTGATATCCCAGCTAGTACTACATAATGAGCCTGGAGTAGCATTTGCCTAATTAATTCACAAAAAGTTGCTTTGAAGGCCACACCGATAAATCAAACTTCCACATTCTTTATACAAGATGAATAATTCTCTGCTTTAGTACCCTGTATCATTAGAAACATTCCACAATCAACATCTCAAAGAAAGTAATGAATTAACAATCAACATCTCAAAGAAAGTAATGAATTAACAATCAACATCTCAGCATCTCAAAGGAATTATTGAATTAATAATCCTGATGCCTATATTGTATAACTGAAGTTGCTGACAAGTTTGACATTTAGTAACAAACACTGACTGTGTTAAAATGCAAATTAGTGGAAACTAAACTGAATACAACAAACATATGAAAATACATATATATGAACTGCGGTTATGAAACGTATATGTGCACGATCCCGTACAGGCCTGAATTTTTTTCAGGTCTGATTTTCACTATTGCTTAAATAGTGCTTTCCTGCGAAGGATCGTGCACATATAAACTGAATACATTAGAGAAATCTGCACAACTCACAAAGTTTACCGTTCCATTACACTAATAAGTCTGTGAAATATTCACTATATATTGAAACTCTATATATATTCTAACATCACAGGTGTACCTAATATAAGGTCTTAAAGATTAGTGAGTCTTAATCACTTAGCTCTTTAGCAGTTTTACTTTAAATGATTCCTCGAAGAGAGGAAATCTACCAAATCTCGTGGAAAGTTTAGTGCAAAAAAGCTGAACTTGATCTGTTTTTGTATTGAAGAATTTTCAGTTATATGTTAAGAGGTTTACATTCTTACTAGTCATGTTTCTCCCTTAGGGGACACTGTACTGATTATTTCATCTAGAAATCTAAAGCACCGGGAACATAATCAAACATCTAGACATGATGAAATCTACGTAAAACATGCACTACCTCAGGAATTTAACCAAATCAGTTGACCGTCATATCGATGGGAACGCGTCCATCGCATTTTCAATCGTATTCACTAGTATTATTAAGAACGACGCCTACCAGTTGACTGAGTGATTTAAACTCGTTGCGTAGTCCACCACAAGATCCTGGTGTCTCTGATATTACTCTCAGCGCAAATCCTATAAGAAATCATTGCAAAACACTCATGTTTTTCACTATTAAGCACAAAAACTTCAACGCAAAACTGACTGCATTTCAATGCTTCGAACCACCGTGCACTACTACCGCCGAAATCGAACACGGAATAAACCTGTTATGGGTGAAACCAGCCAAACTAACGAACATCGGGTTTATAAGTTTCTGAAAATTGAGAGATCACTAATAATTCTATGCTGACTAACCTCGCTGGCGAGAAAAAGAATCGGTTTTACCGAGAGAAACAACAACAAACTCTGAACACCCCTCGCCAGGGGAAATGTGCTTGCCGAAGGAAAGAGAAATTACAATCGAGTTAATTATGCGGAAGACTAAAAGACTAGACCTAGCCCGGAATTTGGAAGGTGAAAATTCTGGAATGGAATATGGAATGGTAAGAAGACTTGGAATTACAAATCACATGCTGTTATGTCAAAAGTCACTCTTGGTCTTATTCACTCGCTAATGTCATTATAGATACTTTTTATGAGTCATACAGTCAAAAATTCTTTCTACGTGTGCGTATCCTTCAAGTGTAAGATCTGAAATACAACGTCTCAGCCTCTCACGGTACCCGAGCTAAGCAACCAGCAACCAACCGTTTCACCCGCTTAGCCATGGTTGCGAAGAGAAAAAGAGTAAGCGGTAGGGCGTTCTATGTGGTACCAGCCAATACAAGAAGCTCAAACATATTGAGTCTGGCCTGGTGTATCGATGCATCACGGATGCCAACAATCATAAAAAGAACACATCAACTGGAGACCAGTACGACATTGGACCATTAAGGACACAAGTCGATCAAGTAAATGGCTGCCAGTTTTAATGGCTGCCAGACTCTCTAAAGATAGCTAAATGGCACTCCTTAGATTATATTTATGAGACCAAACTGTTTAAGGTAGTACACAGTGCATACAATGATTTGCTACCAGAACAACTGTCCGAAAATATTATTGTTAAGAGGTCGAGTGGTGCGAAGTATTCATTAAGGGGGTCAGATAATATTCTTATACCAAGATTTCAATCTCGCTATTTAGAACGTTCAGTAACTTATAGAGGGGCTGTTCTTTGGATTACAATTACGTCTAGGAATGCAGACAGTGAAGATCTTAAGAAACCACGACGGCGACGGCAACGAGGACGAGGAAAAACAAGAGATCTAATTGGCAGAACAATAGCTCAGCACGTGAGTTTTGAAACTTTGTACATTTCTTAGCCGTCCTATGCAAAACAACAACGTGAAATCGCCAAAATTTGCGTCGTCTGCGAACCGAAACCGCGACGGCAAATTATTTTAATTTCCATTTGAAACTCAACGGCTACTTTATACGTCATGCTGAAGTTGAGCTGTGGCGCTGTATGAGACAGTAAGCTCCTGCAGCCATTTTTGAAATTCTGACTAAGAGTAGAAATTCGTTTTTTAATCGAACTCTTCCTTGGCGTCGCCGTCGTGGTTTCTTAAAGTCCCTATTGTTCATGCTACACGAAAGAGCATAGATTCAAGATTAAGTAGGATCGTTGAATTTAAAGATTCTCATTTTAAGCTAACATCTGCCTCAACAGTTAATTTTTGTGATCAAGACTATTTTTATTTTTAATGATATCTTTGCAGATTATATCACATATATTGTACAAATTTTTATAATTTAACTATTAGTAATCTTACTTTTCTTTTGTATGTAAGTTAGCAATAGATATTAGTTTTAGGACTAGTTCAAATGCACCACCCTATAAGCGCGAAGCTTTAAAAACTTATCGTGTTGAAATAAAGTTGATGTTATGTTATGTTATGTTATGTTATGTTCATTGAGCGTAGGACGAAATTTAGGGCATCCCCAATTCTGTCCAATGAAATCATGGCAAATAAAACCAAAGAGCCCAAAACCTTATTCTTCTTTTAGTTTCTTCCCTATCTCGATATGAGTAATCTAAAGAGGGTGGCAAGGGGTTTTTCAGTGACGCGAGATGGCCCCAAAATTTTCAGCGCGATGCGTCACGGATTGAACCCAAATTATCCGCGTGACGCGGGACCGGTCAACGTGATTTGCTATTTTACAAGCGCGTGACGCGTGATTTACTAGACTTACTAATTACATTTCCGTGATGCTGTAAGTGAATGCTCTTTGACCCAGAAGGTAGTCTGAACGTCATTCGTCCTCCTCCCCAACCCACGGGGGATATCGCGATACGAAGCCCGAGTAAGCGCTCTTGGAACGTCTAGTTTCAAAAATTAAGTCGTCTTTGATTGTCTAACAAAAAGCAAAATGACAAGTGAAAGGCAATTCATTCCAGAATAAAAAACGTTGAGTGCAAAATAATTTCAAATAATACATCTGATGAGCTGAAGTGTTACATTATTAAGTTAACGTACTTTCTCCTTTTTACGCGACGCGTAATTGGTAAAAAAAATTATCGGTGATGCGTCATCCTCTCTAAACAATTATGACAAAATATGGGCAAAGCTTTCTTTATTTACAGAATTGATTTAAGTACAAAAAATTAAACCGAATTTGTAACAGAATTCGAAAGCACCTAAGCTTAATTAAACAGCTAGTAAAAGGGTGATCATATCCAAGAAAAGTTCATCAAAGATGATGGATGACTATGTCAAAGAACAGAGGGTACGCATCTCAACTGCTGACTTTACCAAATTAAATATTATTAGCAGGCACAATGTTAGACCATTTATAGCCAGCTGAAGGAAATTTATTGGAAATTAAAAGGAAGACCCAATTTAATATTCCGTGGTAGGTTTATAGTTTACATTTAGGTAGGTTTCTGGATTTAAGAAAAATGTTAGACACGACTGACAATACGAATCATGATTTCTAACTAGATATCAATGCATGCACTTACATTCGCATTTTTTTTTTTTATTATATTACTTAATCTCAATCTTTTTAAAACTGAGCTCCCTTAATATTGGTTTAAACTGGCAACGAAAACAACAGTTTTAGGCTTGTAGCCTTGGAATTATCAAAATTAAAAGCGTCATTCCATAAATTATGTCTGTGCAAGATATCATATTGCAAGGTAATTATCATTATTTTTGAACATCAATCCCAAACACCACTGAAACTCTTATCTTGAGCATGCGGTTGCAGTGCATGTGTGGACACACTGCTACCCCCATCAATTGGGTATAAAAAACTAAAATTGTAAAAATTCTCTAAATCAAGCAATGCAAACTAATTTGCCAGCTCTTTTTCATGCAGGTTCTGATATCTTGAAACATACTCCTAATTACAATCATATTCCCCCGAAAAAAGGTAAACGGAGAAGAAAAGAATCATTTAGCTTGAAATAACCTCCTCCGTCTTACCAGTTTCAAAAGTATACTTTGAAAGTGGTTTAAGGCTTTCTGAGCTTCCTAAGAAATATTTTATGAAAGCAACAGAGTACTTTTTCTGTGTTTGCATAGCTATTTCTAAGAACTGGAAGGATTGGGAGAGTTTTCGAAAGTTATGCAAGCCCCCGACTGAGTCTCAGGTTTGCATGACTTTCTTGAATTCTTCCAAAGCCGCAATAAAAACACGGGAAAAGTCCCTTGTCGTTTAATGACCAGTATCAGATACACCTAATCTACCACGCATTTTGACTCGCTTTTTTATTACCTTTCGGTGGAGAAACGCAAATTTGACCTCATTTTGACGTAATCTGTGTTTTAATACTGAACATGTTCAGATGTACGGTAACACGTAGTCTCATTACACGCTGCAAAATTCTTTGACACTCGACATTCACACAGCCACTTTTTAAGGAAGTTTAATGCCATAAAATCGAATATGAACCCCCCCCTCCCTCATTTATCTGTCTTGAATCACAACAAACAGAGAAACATCGAGTAAGGGGGAAAGGCTGTGAAAGCGCGGGTACAGATGAGGGATGAAATTGGTTTCCTACAGCAAAAGTTTGTGTTCTCAGTAGTGACGAGTCAACAGTTTTGTCCCGATTGTGGCTGTATCTTTTCACTTAGATTTATCCAGCATTTCAGTTAAAATTGTTTTGCGTCATACTAAGAACGGTATGTGGAAAGTTCACCCTGACGATTGGACGGTTTTGGCATCAATCTGCTTTTTCGCTTCGAGAGGGACATATATATGGAATGCGAGAAAGACAATATGTTAAACTTGTGGTCATGCTATATCTCTTCAGTTTCTTGATGAAATATTGCGAGGAGTGTTTCACGTCTCAATTCATAGCAAACTGAGGCTTGAAAGGATATTTCAAACGAGCTCATCCTCGCTATTTCGTATAACTGGGCTTGAAAGTTTCTTCAAACCACGCGAATTATCATGTAAGACGATTTTAAAAGGGCGATTTCCCTATTGTAACTCATTTAAAAACTGTCATCACTTTTAAAATAAATTTAGACCAAAAAAAACCAAACTGTGGTTGTTCTCAGTCTACATTACACAATCTGTAGTGAGAAGTACGCATTTCGTTTCCTAGCCTGCATTTTGCAGTAACAATGATTCACAAAATTCGGCGGACAAACTGAAGCGGTTTCAATTACTCATCCAATATCTCGGAACGTGGATAAACAAACTCGCAAAAGGACAAAAAACCACAAAGTTATAAAAAATATGTTACTGTATTGTTTCATTCCAGATCTACTTCACATCGGGTACAAACTGCCAATTACTGGTTTTTGCTAGTACCGTCAACAACTGGAAGAGATAAACCAGTCTAGATTGTATACAGAACTGATCATCGTCCAGGGCTCGAGAAATTTCAAGGACTGCTAAAAACGATAAAACGAACACAATCTCAAGGCGGTGAGGATGGTAACATAATACTTGAGGTGGTTGTCTTCAAGTTGTCGTTATAACAGCTGCGGACAGACTAAAAACTGTTTTGATTTCGCAATATCACCCTCAAGAGGTCTTTGTGAAAGCCTGGTGACTAGTTGAGAGCCGCGTGCGGTGACGTCAATTTTGACACGCTGTTTAAATGTACGAGTTTATTACCACTTCATCGCTTTGACTGAGAGGGACGATGGAGCCACTCCGCCACGAGGATCTCCGACGATTTCTCGAAAGATTTATGAAGATCACGAAAGCCGCATATTAAACGCATCATCAGGCAATTTATCAAGGTTAGTTTTCCTTGTATCTGGTGAGTTGAACAGCCCTGTTTTTTCGTTATTACAAGACGAGGAGGAATAAGTACTTGCTGCTTCGTAAAGCGTAGTTTGGTAAAATTCCACATCGTCTCTGTAAGGTGTTTTTAACCGTTTCAGAATTGTTTGAACCTGTAAAAGAAAAGGAGAGGGAAATATAAAATACTAAACTATCAGTATGTGTGTCTTAATCCACATATGCATCACCGCTTGCAAGTATTCCCTTTGCAAGGTTTTCTTTTGCATTATAGATGGGAAAATAGTCCTAAAAAAATCTTTTCCCAAAAGCCTACAAACCAGGTCGTGCACAAGGAAATTTGACAAGGGAAAAGAATGGCGGAAACGAAATTAAGTCGGTGTGTTTATGACCAAGAGAAACGAAATTGTCCCTTGATTTTCTTTTGATATGTCTAATAACATGGATACTTGTCGAGGAATTTCAGAAAGAGTTTCGGGAAACTTAAGTGGTTTACCCACGAGTAGTTTCCTCTAACAAGCGTCTCTGTTTTCTTTGACAAAGTAAAGAGGGAGCGATTTTTGCATTGGGATCAACTGAAGGATCTATTGCATAACTTGCACTTATTGCAAAAAGATATAAATCGGCGAAACAGGCAGAAGACTAGGTGACCGATTCCGAGAACACGTTCGAGACGTGGAAAGGAATGACAAGGACA